GCCAGTGAAATGAACGTCAACAAAACAACTGCGTTTCGTCGTTTAAAAAAGGTTGGGTACACTTTGAAGCTTGATACATGGGTGCCACATCAGTTGAGTGAAAAACAAAGTGGACCGTATGTCAACGGAACCGATGTCGAAAGGTGGATTGCATCCGATGATCTATGAATCAAGCATCAGTACATTGGTTGAGCATTGGGAGTGGATTGCCGAACACGATGGCGAATACATAATTGATTAATAAAAGCGCTTTCTTCAAAAAATTTCAATTTTAGTTTGCACTTGAAATCGGGCACTCATCCAATATAAGAGCTGCCTTACTGTAATGTTAATCTCAGTCCAATGTGATTGAGGTAAAACTCTTTCAAAAGTTATTTGTATAAAAGACCGTTTATTCAAACTTGCTTATCGTTTGTTTAAGTAAAAGTTACATTTATATTAAAAGACTACACAGTAAAAAATACATACATACAAACATACTTGGTATTCATATTATTGACTTATGATATATGAAGTTATACATATACATACATACGAACATGCACACATGTATGCAGATATTATATTTTTATTTGCTTACATATTGTGTATGCGGATAAATGTGTATAAGATCGTTTAAATTCATACATATAGTATATATTTATGTATAATTATTTCAGAGAATTATGTAATTATTTACTGTATCCTTAAGTTTAGTATAATGGCTACATACAGTATAATTGCTACATACAAGTTTAGCGTGAATTGTTTAAAATAACTTAAAAATATTTGTATTTCTTCAAGTTTTCTTCGCTGTATACGGCAGAGCTTATATTTATTAGCAAGAATATTAGAATTCAATATTTGATTGACATATACATATGTAATTTTTTGATTTTTTTGATTTTTTTGATTTTTTACTTTAACACTATTTAAATGGAATTATAAACCTACATGCAATGACACTAAGTTATGTACTTAAATTAATTTTGATTTAAGTATTTGGAGTTAGCGAATGGTGAAATTTCAATTATAAAATTAATTGTAAATAATTTTATTATTTTTTTTTATTATTTAAGTTATTACAATTCATCTGTGTTGTTAAGAAACAGAATGAATTATGAAAATAATAGTCAGAAATTGTTCCCATTGATATATTTATTTATATTCTATTCTTAAAAAATAAAAAAATAATAATTGTGGGAATATTTAAATGAATATTTTTCGCTTCATTATTTTTCGAAATTTAAAAATATGAATGGCAGTGCTTAGTGTTGCTTACTGACAAAATATTTTATAAAAATCTACTATACACATTTTCTTAATTCTTGCTGAATTTTTAACTCGAGATATACATACATATTTATATGTATCTATATTAAATTTTTAAAATTTATTATTTTTATAACTTTTTCGTTTCAAAATTTTACACATAAAAACACATCTGCTTAATTATAATAAATGCTTAAATTAATGTAGGAAGCTTTATTTTTCAATGCAGCAGAGGATTTATTTTTCGCTTAAAAATAAGCAGCAGTTTTTGGTCCATTGCATTTGGCAGTTACCAATATGGAAGCGAAATGCTTATAAACACTCACAACGCTCATTTTATGTGCTTTACGGCAATACATATGCATACAGATATATATATCTTTTGTTCATTGATTCAAATGTAGCTTATTGCACAATAACGAATTTGATACATTTAACATTTAGAGTCTGATTACACATCCCAAATACATATAAATATACATGTACATATCTCGTATTTAATTTTGTTATTATTTACATTGCCCAGTTGATCTTTTAAAGTCTGAAAACGATTGGTTGAAACATTTTTTGTGCGTGAAATGTCTGCTTAGAATAAAAAAATAATATTTTAATGTTGAGGATGGAACAGGTTTGAAAATTACTAGGCCGAAAATTACTGGTCCAGAAGTAACTAGTCAGAAAAAAGCTGGTCCAAAATTTAGCTGTGTAAAAATTACTAGCGGAATAATTTCTAATCCGAAAATGACCAGTCCAATAATTTCTAGTCCAAAATTTACTAGTCCGAAAAGAACTAGTACCAAATTTACCGATTTAAAAATTACTAGCATGAAAACTATTCCCAAAATGACAGTTTCGAAAATAATCCAAAAACTCTTGCCTGATAATTACCTGTGGAGAAATTGCTAAAAATTAGTCCAAACTAATTAATCCAAAAACATCAAAATGTCCATTGTGAAAATAGTGAAAATGACTAGTCCAAAAATTAGCCGTCCAATAATTACCAGTACGAAAATTATTAAACCAAAAACAAAACAAAATTAGTTCTAAATTACTCGTTACCAGTCCAAAAATTACTTACTTACTAGTCAGAAAATTTCTGCCCCAAAAATAACTAGTCAGAAAATAATTAGTACAAAAATCACCGGTTCAAAAATTACTAGCTCAATCATTTCTAATAAGAAAATGACCAGGCCAATAATTTCAAGTACAAAAATTATTAGTCCGAAAGTAGCTAGTACCAAAATTATCGATTGCAGTTATGTTGGGTTGAGAACTGTTCCCAAAATGACAAACCCGAAAATAATCCAAAAATACTTTTCCGAAAATGATAAAATATGACGAAAATAACAAAATCAATTAGTTCAAATATTCAAAAATTATTAGACCAAAAATTACAAGCCCAAAAATAGGTCGTACCAGTTTTGTAATTTCTTATCCGATCCGATCTGATAATTACCAGTCCAAAAATTACTTCCTTAATTACTAGTCCGAAAATTCGTCCCAAAATTATTGGTACTGTAATTCCTCATGCTATAATTAATTTAATAAGTTCAATAGTTCGGTCCGAGAATTCCAAAAATAATCATCTCAGTATTGACTTTTCCGCTAATTATTTGTCCGATATTATCGTTCAGAAAAATACCAGTCCGAAAATTACTAAAAAGAAAATAAATAGTCCGAAAGAACTAATCAGGAAATTACTAATTCATGGCAGAATTTTTTATTGGTTCACTTAATGAGTAAAATTAGTAAACTTTTCAGTGTAGTACTCGAAAGCTTAAGGAGGATTTATGCATAACGTAAGAGTCCTTTCGAAACAAATGCGCCTGCAGCCCCTTTCCGAGTGCTAAATAAAAGAGTTCAAAGTGCCTTTCTAAATATCTAATCGATTTACAATTGGGAATTTGGCATAAAAAAATAAAATTTCTTTGACCTTAATGCTGGTCATGCAGCGTTAAATTCGGTACAAATTTGTGCTTTAACGACCTCATAGTAATGAAAAAGGGGAAATGAACAGAATGTAGACAAGAAGGATATTCAGTAACAGCTGTGGGTAATAATACTTATAGAAAAATAATTTGACACAATTTAAGTGCTTAATGGGAGAAGCGTTTGGGATATTTGTTCAAAAAAAAAAATAATAATAATAATAATAATAATAAGAAACAACTTATTGTCCTTAAAATGTTTACAAATATATGTATATATTTTTTTAATTTTGTAGTACTTGCAGTGGTTATGCATGCTTTGTTAGGAGTTTTATAATATAATAATACAAAATAAATAATAAATTAACATACAAAATAAACTGCAGAAATTTTTCATAAATGTTAAAAAATTCTAAAATTACCCAAACTTTAACGCTTAATTGTATGTGTATATGTATTTGGTATATTTATTGTTTTTTGCTTGGCTCACTTACGAAATTTATTTTATGAAATTAATAAGCTTTTCAACTAAATATTTTTCAAAAGGTCGCCTTAAAGTATACTACACATCCAAATGCATGTGTGCATACACACATACACATGCACATATGTTACCGAATTATGAGTGTGCTTCCAAAAAATGCTTATATCACTTACAGCTTCAAAATATTATGCTTATAAAATAATTTTTCGAGGTTTTTTTTTATATTTTTTTTTGATTTTGATTTACAATTTTCGTTATTATTGTTCCTGCTGCTTACAACATTTTAGTTAAAATTCCTTATCGTTATTTTCTCATTTTCTTTTCTGTTTTTTTTTTTTTTGTTTTTAAGTAAAAATTTATATTTATATACTTATTATACTCACTAACTTTCACCTCGGGTGTAGTGCACATGATCTCATACATACATACATATGCATGTGTTTGTAACCACAACCACAACCATTTGGTGGCACAACACAGTAATACTACGCTTTTATGCAACAAATATACTAGTTTTCAAAGTTTCAAATATTGTTGGAACTTTTTTTTTTTACTTATTTTGGTCTTTTTTTGCTGCTTCACTCAAATGTATATGTATTTCCTGTTGTTGCATACTTGTTGCTACTGCTGTTCTGGTTAATAATTCAGTTGAAATTGTGCATGTAACGTCGTGCTTGTAACTGTTGCCATAGCTAGTGTTTTTGTTGTTGTTATTGCTGTCGATGTTGCTGTTGATGCGAGTAAAAGTACGCTGGAAGCTTTTTGTTACTAAAGCTGTTGTTGTTGTGGCTAGAGCTTTTGTTGTTTTTGGTAAAAAGATGCGGTTTTTGTTGTTGTTATAGATTTGTTATTGTTGTTGTTCTTACATTAGTTGTTAATTCTCTTTGCTGTTGTTGTGAAGTTTTGTTGTTATTATTTTTTGTTGTATTTGCAGTTGCTACAGTTGTTTCTAAAAGCTTTTGTTGTTCGCATATTTGTTGTTGTTGTTGTTGTTGTTGGCGCCGTTTCATGTTCCATTGACATGTGTAGTTGACGCTGTTGTTTCTGCCTTTTTTTTGTTGTTCTCATATTAGTTGTTGTTCCATATTCTTTTGTTGTTGTTGTTATTGTTGCCGTAGTTATTCCTCCTCGTGTTGCATTTGCAATTGCTGTTGCTGCAGCCAATGTTTACAAAATGCACTCGGCGGTGGTACTTGTGACAGATGTTGTTGTTGTTGTTGCTCTAGTTGTAATTCACACTGATATTCATGCCATGCCTGTTGTTGCTGCGGGAAATCTATTATACTACTATCAGCGAAAATTCGTTTTTCAGACAATGCTTGTTGCTGTTGTTGTTGCTGTGACTGCTGTTCGACAACATTCGGCTATTGACGGCGATTGAAATTGGTTAATTCTCATAATTCCGTACTCATTTCGCCGACTATTGAGCCCTGCAAGTGTGAGGGGTGGAAAAAGGAGTGATTAAATATAAGTTTATGTAAATGAACTAAATAAAAAAAAGAAAAATAAATTGATAAAATAAGATATATCAAGTCGTGGCAAAATAGTTGAAAAGTGTACATGAAAAAGCATTTTAATGATGAGTGTTTTTAGATTTGTTGTGTGTGGGGTATATTTTTCTTCGAAAGCGATTTTTAAGCTTTACCATTTATATATTATTTATGTTCAATATTAATAATGTTAATAAGCTGATATGCTACTTGGGAAACTCAAAGACTGTATATTTAATATAAATTATATTACAAGTATAAGCACACCATGGCGTATAGGTAACTTTGCATTTAACACAATAATACATACATATGTATGAAAGGCGCAAAAAGTGATTTTTATTAAAATTACATCATCTAGTATATATGTACATATATTTAAAAATATATATTCAGTAATGTTGCCAGTGTTAAATATCGCTTGCTTCACCTATATGTTTTCTAGGGCGGTGCGACGGTGCGTATGAGTAATTTTCTTGCGCTAGAAATTTGGTGTGTGTGAATACTTTAAGTGTAATATTTAGTAAATCAATACTAAATGACATTAATGGGAGCACTACTATTAGTTTATGCATTTGTATGCATCTAAATATGAGTTATTAATATTTATGTTTGTGAATTCGTGTATTAAAATGTCATAGGGTTAAGGGTTGAATGATTAGACTATAGTATGTCAGTATGTGCAGTATACTAAAATGCAATATATATAAGAGTTTACTAAATTCAAAGCTAACGTTAAAATGACTACAAACAAACAAATTGCTGAAAAATTTCTCGAATTTATAATAAAGTCAGTAATTTTTCACTGTAAAATATAATAATTCGCAGATATTGGAGTGTTTTCAAATATATATGTATAATAAATCAGATTATATTTAGATCCATCTTTCGCATGAGAGTAATATTTTTTTAATATCTAATTACATTTATTAACAATTTTTTTATAATTTTAATTAATAAATTTGTTGACTTGTAAATAAAATAAATTTCGATACTTCATTAGTAATATAATTAAATAGCCATGGGATGAGTAACATAAGAAATCGGCTCCAGTCAGCTATCGGCAGAATGAATGCAATAAATAACAATAGTAAAAGAACTGCAAATTGCAGCTCGATATCCTTTACAATTTCTGAATAAACTAAGGAAAAATTGCGTTTCTCACTGCCTTGCAATTAATCCCAATAGTGAACATTATCAGCTAACAGCAGCTTCTAAGAAGAAACTTATCGGTTTGTAAGCTTCTTCACATAAATTTATAAATATATACAATATATATACTGTTGGTGTTTTGTAAACGCTGAAGCGATATTCAGTCAATATCCTTTTCCAAGACGAAAACCTCAGTCGTGCTGTTTTTCCAACAAATAGAGGGGTTAATGTTTATTCTGAGCCGCCACCAAATAACCGCCAATATAAATATTAGGAAAAGTAACAAGTTATTATTGTAACAAGTATTTATTTTTGATCACTTTTTTCTACTTTGAAAGTAAAATCAGTATGCCATTGTCCCTATAGACAAATTGAAACAATATTTTTTCATAGACTTCTTTTGAGGCCAACAAATTAATCATCAGCCGACTCATTAACAATAGACAGCAATAGCGGTAAGCACTTGGTGCGAGGCTCTGACTTTGAGGTGGATGCATAAGAAGCGCACAGCAAAGCACTCGGAGCTTCTGGCGAGTCAGTATCGATGTGCTGTTGGCGCTATTGTACAATTGCTTTCTTCAGACGTTCAAATTGCTGACAGTACAGGTCCGAATTAAGAGTTTAACGGTAGACGCGCATAGTGGATTATTCCTTGCCTAATCCCATCAAACTCACAACAAAACCTTCTTGACCGTAAATCCTGGCTTGGCCGCCATAGCGGCTAGCGCACTGCACCTCGACGATCAATGTTTTAGTGTGACGTTGCTGTCGATGATCCACTTTTCATCAGCAGTCCCACTCCACTCCAGAAGTTGTTAAATTTTGTTACAATTCAGCTGGCGTTCGCTGATGGAAATTCGGTTTATGAGGTTTCTTACCGTTGTGACATGTCCTCATGGGAGAACATATCTCATTTTGAGGAGCAACAGTTATTACTAATTTATTATCAGCCATCCCATACTTAGGAATTGATTTAGTTCAATGAGTTTGAGGAGGGTTTGCAGTTGATAACGCAACATTAACTCGATTCATGTGACACTCATACATCCAGCCTTTTATAAATAGCTCCGAGTTTGATTTTTGTGCAATGTTTAATTCTTGGGCAATCGAAGTGGTGCTCGCAAGATGGACAGACTCTACAATTTCTACCATTTTATTGATAATTTCGATAATTGGTTTTTCACAACGTGGAACACCTTTTACAATAAAATTACCGGAACGAAATCGATGAACAGGATCAGGACCATATACACTATTTATATTTTCAGCTACCCTTCTTGTGGTTTCGTCTTTATGGAAGAAAGATTTTAGAATATAGTATAGAATTTTATCTTTGCTGGCGATCATCTTTGACTGGCGCTCGAATGTGACTGAGTTAAGTGATCAACACTACTCTCATTATCTTTTTTAGTACAAAAAAATATTTTTCTAACGCCATCTAGCGTAATCCAATTGCACTTAAAAAACACACAGTATGGATGATTTAAGCCATTCATTACAAAAATAATGGATTACTTTTTACTGGAACTAATTACACCTTTCACTTTATACAAAAAAAAAAAAAATATAAATAAATTAAAAAAAGAAATAAACTAAAATTATATGTTTTAATAATACTGAAAAAAGAATCACCAAATCTATTAAATTTGCACAGCGTAGTCACCAAGGTATAAATTACCAATTTATATTGTTTTTTCTCTCAAATATTTGAGCAAAAATATCTTTATGGTATTTTTTCCGCAACTGTTTGGTCGTTTTCATTTCAACTTTTAACTGCTGCTATATTGAGTTTACACAGAAATTTTATTAAGTGTGAGTAAATATAATAAATAATAAATATTGGCATAAAGTCTGCAAAAAATCTGGCGAAAATAAAAAAAAAATAAACGCGGCTGGTGGTCGGTCGCTTTGAGCGTAAAAAAAAAAATAATAAAACATAAATGAAATAATAAAAGCAATAAAAGCGCAGACAAATATGCCAACAACAAGACAGCTAAATGTGGCAATGGGAAAAATTGTAAAAAAACTAAAAAAAAAAATAAATAAAAATATAGATATAATATATACGTATGTATATGCGTGTGTCTAAGTTATATTTATTTAAAAAATAAAAATAAATACATATACCTACATATATTTCTGTAAAGACTGCATGCCAAAAGGCAGCACAAAGTTTTCCAACCAACCGCCAGGCAGACAGTCAGTTACTACTCGTTTGTATATTTCTTCACGCTGAAATATGACCGAAACGCTTGTGGGTGGCCGTGAGGAAGGAGCGGCGAGAGATGTCAGCGCGTATTCAAGAAACTGCCGCGTTAACAGTTCGAATTTCGAAAGTCGCTTTGAAGTAAGGCATTCAGTGATAGCGAAACACGCTCTATATACATATTCGCTCACATAGACATAAACAGAAAAGTTCACAACGACACAACGCAAAGTGGCAGGCGTCGCAGAATTTATAGCATCACTAATGTAATTACTTAATTTAATAAATAAGCAGCTAAGGATACTTCTGTGCGTACATTTTGCGCAGCATACAAATATTTATGTTTATTTGTATATAACTACAAATAAATAAAAAATACAAATGGTTGTCTGACGTCCTTTGTTAAAAAATAAAAGTGGCAAAAAATAAAGGATGGCCCTTCTCAGCCTACTTCGTAGCCCTTTTAAGCGATTTTTCTCTATGTATTTATTTAAATATTTACTTTTTTTTGCCTTTGTTGTAGGTATGTACGCAAATAAAATTTGAAGAATACTTTTACTTTTGGCCATTTTCAATTTTAGTTTTATTTTAACTCAAAATTTGCTTTGTTGCCTTTCGCCATACATTTTTGCATCGTTTGCTGTCGGTGAATTTGGATTTATGACGCAACTTAAACTGTTATCTTTTGGAAAATATATTTAAATATTTATCTGAAGACATTGTTAGCAACGGAAAAGTGCCAACATGTTACAGCATTAAATTAATAGAGGACAATATGAGTGAGTATTGGCGCTTTAAGACAAAGAAAATAAAAATTTCTGCGTGAAAATCTCTGCAGTACCACGCTTTGGAGCCAGCAATTAAGAAACTAACCAGGTACCTCGGATTTATTTTAAACACCAAATTAGTTTGAAAACTCAAGGTAAAGCAGAGCTGCTAAGTAGAATCTATTGTCTGGCGCCAATCATCGGTGCCACATACCGATAGTCCAGCCAATCTTAATCTAAGGAGCTGTACTATGTTCAGCTAACAAAGTTGTATGAAGGAATCCATTGCAGTTAAAAAATTGGTTCGCTGTACTCAGAATGATGGTACTGTTATGGACATCTGTGCCAAATTTCATGTCAATGTCATCATTAGTATTTTAGTTACGCTTGAGTTTACTAAACGACTAAAAGTGCCTTCGGCGATTTTTATATTGTCTGATTTGATTGAACAAAGAAGTGCGATCAAATTTTTGATTCGAATTTCCGACTGTGGAAACGTGGAGGATTCTACAGAAAGCCTTTGGGAACTCAACTATGTCGCACGTTGATGACTTGGAGCACCGGGGACGATCATCAACGTCCACTGATGTGCAATACGTCAATGAAATTAAGGAATTAGTGCCCGAAAATCGTCGATTGACTGTTAGAGATCTTACTGATATGGTTGGAATATCAGAAGGAAGGCCAAAAAAAAGATCAGAATTATGGACCAACAATTCTTGGTTTTTGTATCACGATAATGCATCATCGCACACAGCACTCATTCTTCGTGACCATTTCAATAAAAATTCCATGAATATCTTTTCTCAACCAAC